AGTGCAGTGCCTTGTGGTGTGGTCCTGTCCTTGGTGGTGTGTGAGCCAGGAGTAATTTCACCAGTACTCGGGCTGCATGCACCTAGGGTTACCTTTCCTAAGTGCCCTGTAAATACTGCTCTTGTGGCTTGGGGTAATCTTCCACAAGTCGCTTGGGGGTCTGCCACCATGTGATCTTTTGGTGCTCATTGATTGTTTGCACTTGGAGTCAGCTTGGGTGTTTCATGCACCCATGTTTGCCCCTGGATAGGAGGTAGTTTTGTCACTGGTAGGGGGTGCAAGGTACTGTGCAGCTTGTTTTCACCATGATACAGCAGCTGGCTCTGTTCCGCCTGGGTCGTTGTGCTCTTGCCGGGTTTTTCTTTTGTTTGGGTTTTTCCTGTCTAGTGGGGGTCTGCCCCTTGGTGCTGATACCTCTTATATATATATATATATATATATATATATATATATATATATATATATATATATATATATATATATATATATATATATATATATATATATATATATATATATATATATATATATATATATATATATATATATATATATATATATATATATATATATATATATATATATATATATATATATATATATATATATATATATATATATATATATATATATATATATATATATATATATATATATATATATATATATATATATATATATATATATATATATATATATATATATATATATATATATATATATATATATATATATATATATATTTTATTTATTTATTTATATATTTATTTATTTATTTATTTATTTTGGTGGTTCTCCACTGGGTCTCTCGTGAGTATACATGTCCCAGATGTTCAGCTTTTAGCAGTTTGTTTGGTAGTTTGGGGTGCTGGTTAGCAGTACCATGCCTGGGCTTCCCTTAGAAGAGCATCTAAGGGCCCTGGAAACCCATGGTGGGGCTCAGTGGTCCGATAGGTGCGTCTCCTGGGCCCCATCTCACATGTGCGAGTTTGAGGGTTGCTCTTCTCCCTTTTCTCAGGGTGACAATCACCTGTTCTGCTTCTGTCATGCTGCCTGTTGGGGCTGTGACGCCTTCGACCCGGAGTCCTGCGAGTGTTGTTCCTTGCATGTATTCCACTTCACCCAATCCACTGATCTTGATACGTGGGTGCAGGCAGCTTCGGCATTGCATGCGCATTATAGGTTGCAGCAGTGTGCTAGAAAAGTTAGTTGTTCACCCTGATGCCCCGAGGCTACCCCGTTTTGGTTATAGGGACCCAGACTTGGGGAGTGTTATTCACTTCGACTATGGTTTTGTCCTCGCCCCCTTGTCCTTTCCCTGCTGTAGTTTGTCCTGTTCCTTCTCTCCCTGCTGTAGTTTGTCTTGTTCATTCTCCCCCTACTGTAGTTTGTCCTGTTCCTTCTCCCCCTGCTGTAGTTTGTCCTGTTCCTTTTCCCCCTACTGTAGTTTGTCCTGTTCCTTCACCCTTGCTTCAGGCTTCGAAGCGTCTAAGGGTTTCGAAGTTGGGGCAGGGGTTTAGTTGGTGATGAGACTCGGGCAGTTTTGGGGTATTTGGTGTGGCGACAGTCATTCGAGCCCATTCCTCTAGCCGGTGCATCTGGTTCTGACCAGTGGGCCCCCTTTGTTCCAGCTTTTCCAATAGCTTCTGTCTTTTCTTTTGAGGAGGAGGGTTTGGAGGATGGCTTGGCCCCGGGTCCTGATGTGGAGGTTCCCGGGGTGGGGGAGGGGCTGACTTGGGGGGGCTTGGGCCCTGTTTGACCACGCTTGGGTTTTGGTACCCTCTGAGTGGGGCTTCTTGTTGCAGGGTGGTGGGGTTTTCTTATCCCCCCTCCTTGTATGAGCTTGATATGGCATCAACCCCTTCCCAGATTCAGTTCCGTGTTTCCTTATGTAGTTCAGTCACCCTCTTTCTGAAGGTTTAAGGCCTCTGGCATCCCACCTCATGAGGTGTGGGAGGCCATTGTGGCATACCTGCATGACCCAGATTATGCCTCGATAATGGATCCTTTCTCTTTTGAGTTCTGTTCTCATTTTCATTACTGGGTGCATTAAGAGGTTTCGGAGTCATCCTGGTTGACAGACTGTCCTATCTTTTCGTTCGGGGCGTGGCATACTTTCTGTCAGTCCCGCATGCTAGAGTGGCAAGAGGCACTTACGGTTGTTCAGGTTTACCTGGGGGGCGAGTTTCACGCTTCAATGCATGTTTGTTTGCCCCTGCCCTTTCTCGGGATGTTGGCTTGGTACATTGGTAGGCCAATGGTGCCAGTCGGAGTCGCCCCAGGCTTCGGAACCGATGAAGTCTGGTTGGTGCGGTGATCGCTCTGCTTGTAAGTCGACTTCACATAAGGGCCATTAGGCCTTTTGAAGTTGGTTCCATTGACTCATCGAAGGGGGGAGAGACGCGTGCCATTTGCTCATGCCTGGTCCCACGATTCGTGGGCTTTTTGGGTCGTTTCTTGCAGCCTGCTTTGAGATTGGGTCGCCCCCTCCTCCTCCTGCAGGTTTGGGGCTGGCAGGCAGGCCTTTTCTCCTGCGCTCTCTTGGGTCATCTTGGAGTGGATTTGTTTGGGTGTGGTTTAAACGTCCTCGTCCCTCAGGTAGGTTTCCCGCCTGTTTCCGGTTCCGAAACGGGACTGCACGTACCTGCGGTTCATTCTGAACTTGTCCCGTCTGAACCCCTGGGTTCATTGCCCCTTCTTTCGGATGACTACACTGTCCCAGGTCCGGCTTCTTTTGGAGCCAGGCATTTGAATGGTGTCCCTTTGACCTCCGGAACATGTATTGCCACGTCCTGATTCATCCGGGGCCTCAGGGACTGGCTCAGTTTTGTTGTGGGGCTTCAAGCTTACCGCTTTCGTTGCCTTCCATTTGGCTTTAATATGGCACCTCGCATGTTCACACGCCTTACCTGGGTCGTGGTGGCTCGTCGGCATCCCGTAGGGATTAAGGTTCTGGCCTACCTCAATGACTGGTTAGTATGGACTCCCAGCCAGTCTACGTGTCTACTCACCAGGGATCTGGTGCTTTCCCAGCTCGCTGGGTTCGTCCTTCTGTCAGGCCCACAGCATGGTGTTGGAGTTCGCGGCCGTATGAATATCACTCTGGAGGATTCGCGTCATTCGTGGATTGATGATAAGGGTCCATTTCGATTATTCCTGGTGGTTCATTGCATGAACTACGGGGGTTCGATGCAGTCCTTGGCTCTTTGGGGCTGGTCGCTTCGGGTGACTCCTCTGCTGGGTTCTCTGGGTTTGGCTCTTCTGGCCATTCACATTTGGAGGGTGTCCAGCATCTTGGTGGACGGCCTGTCACTGTTCATTCCCCTCTCCACGGAATGGATGATCGACGCCGACTCGTTCAGTTGGCTCAGCTGGATATTCAGGCTTTCGGAGGTGGTCCTCTTCGGGTCGGCATGGTCGAGGCGTCTCCTGATGTATGTGGTGCCCTTCCCCGACAGCAAGGCCATCGAGGTCAATGCCTTCAGGCAGAACTACTGGTTGAGGTTGGGTTACCTGTACCTCTTTCCCCCGGTTCTTCTGTTGCTCTAGGTCCTACCTCGCTTGGAGACTTACCAAGGGAGAGTAGTCTTGTTGCCTCCTTGGTGGCCGGCCAAGCCTTAGTTTCAGGCACTGCTTGTTCAGTGTTCGAAATCGGGGGTCTTCCCGCGCGTTCGCCTCTTTCAGCTGATCAAGCCAGTCTGTTGCATAGCTGGTTCGATGTTCTCATCAGGTCTTCGCAGCTGGTTTTTCTGACGCGGGTCTATCACCATTTGTTTGTATGGTGAGCAAGTGGCTTCTTTGATGGTGTCCCACCTGTGCGTCTCGTCTCGGTAGCAGTATGAAGTTTCCTGGCAGTCCTTTCGTTATTTCTAGTCCCTTCACAGGTTTTCTTCTGTTTCGGGTCGGGTTGTCTAGCCATTTTTGTCTTGGTTGTTTCAGGATCATCATCTTGTACCGAATACTGTCGCCTCGTATCGTGCAGAGCTGGCGGAGCCGCTTCAGCTTGCATTTGGGGGTGGATGTTACTTCTGCCCCGTTTTCGGCAACATGTCCTGGGCTGATATTCGGGCACAGGAATTTTGGAGGTTGAACAGGGCCCTGGCTGCTTGTTATTTGGTGGACATTCTTAATCCTGGATATTTGTGTATTGCTTTGAGTCGCAGATTGCAGGCAGTTGTTCGACTTGTTGAGGAGCAAGTGGCGGCCGCCTCCCCGGGTAAGTCCCTCATTTCCTTATCTTTGATGAGGTAGCTCCAGGAAATCAAAGGGGCTCCCCACAGAAAACCCCATTTTCTGGGTGAGCTCCGGAGAGTCCTCGACACCCTCCCTCCCTCCCTCCCTCCGGTCATCAATTTTCTCATTGTTTTCATGCATAGTCTCCGAACTGGGGTTGCTGGGTCGCTGGTGCAGAGGGTCCGGGGCTCCCCCTTCCCTCTTCTGGGGGGAGGGGCGGGGCTGCACACATAGTCGGCGTGGCGGTGTGTGACATTTGCTTGTTTGATTGTTTACTTTGGATTTTGGGGAGTTCTGCTTCTCTGTTCGTTTTTTTGGTTGTAATTTTCTTACCATGTGGGGTCTGTTTTCTTATGCCTACCTCTCTGTGTGCCTAACCTCGGTCGATGGCAGATTAGGAAAGCTCCCAATGACAGGGGACGGGGGGTGTTCCAGGGGCCATTGTTCCATGTGCCTCTCTGAGGTTACCAGGTTCTGGCTTGTAGTCCGACAGTAGGCTGAACTCCATTGACAACAGCCCTGGTCTTATGTATCGCATATTAGTCAAATAGCTCCAGGTAGCTTCTGGGGCTCAACCAGAAAATGGCATTTCATTACATTCAACACTGATTTTTGTTAAGCTCAATATCTCTTTGCTTTTCATGATTATCCAACTTAAAATTTCCAAATTTGTGAAAATAAATATTTGTGTCATAAGGGCTTAGAAAAATGTAATTTGAATTGTAAGTAGATTGTAAGAATTTAATTGAGAGTTTATTTTAACACAGAACCAGAGGAGGACGTTTGCTCTCTCCCCAGCTCTGCTGGTGATTGTGACAACTTCGAGGAACGTTGGTTCTTTGATATGTCTGATAACCAATGTAAATCTTTCGTGTTTGGTGGATGTGGTGGTAATTACAACAACTTTGGCACTTATGACGAGTGTTTAAAATATTGTGGAAGTAAAAAGGATATTTCAACTGAAGATGAATTTAAACAAGGTTCGTGTATGTCTAAATAATATTTATACAGTATTTACTCTTATTATTGCATTTTGGCTTTGAATTGCAAAGAAGTTCAATATGATATTTTAGTATAGTATTTGTATGTAAAAAATTATTGTACTTTAATTAAATAGTACGATTATTATTGAGAAAATCAGTAGGAGCAATGAACCTGTTCAATTGGTACTCCCAAGCAAGCACACTAGACCACCACGCTTTGACATGTTAAAAGCAATGCATCTTGGGATTCCACTGAATCCTCTACGATGCCTAAGGCTTATGACTGAAGTCCAATCAAGGGTTTTAAGCCTTGCCCCATGCCCTCTGGCTAATGGTCCGGTAATTCTCCTCCAATGCCTCTTGTCAAATGCAAAAATTTGATTGGGCTTCAGTTGTAAGCCTTAGGAATCCTAGAGGATTCAGTGAAATCCCAGGTTGTATTGCTTTTGACATGTCATAGCGTGGTGGTCTAGGGTACTAGCTTGGGAGTATCAGGTGAGAAGGTTAGAATCCTCCTCATGGCTTCTACTGATTTTCTCATTGATACATTTCTCATTTCTCATTTATGTGATTTCATTGTGCATTTTATGAGAAGCCTTGGAGGAGAACTACAGGACCATTAGCCAGAGTGCATGGAGGCAATACATAAAAACCTTGACTGGGCTTCAGTTGCAAGCCTCTGGAATCCTAGAGGATTCAGTGGAATTCCCAGTTGCATTACCTTGGGGTGAGTCTGGGCTTCTCACCCTCCATCTTTCACCCAGTTGGAATGTTATTGGTTGGTGGGACATCACTAAGGACTTAAATGCTGCACTACAGCGTGCCAAAGTAGGTTGTTCTAACTGAGTGATTTAAGCTAGTTTGATTTACTGCAGAACTTTGGCGTCTCATCCCAGTGCCTAGGATGAGCACTTGAGCACTTAGTTCAAGCTTTCTTCTCCTAGAAATCTCCAGCAGGTTCCGTGGTCTGCATGGATGTACACATAAACGCCACCCTCATGAGTTGGGAGGTTAAAGGGGTGTACATCGTCTGTGCCACGGGTGATGTTCATTTGCCCTGCCTCTGCCTGCGATCTGTTGGGTCGCTGACATCTTCGACCCCGAGTCATGCAGGGTGTATTCCCATCACGTCTCTCTTGTACCCAGTGCTCCTGTTGATATCTGCTTGATACCTACTTGATGGGTTCTGGGAGTTCTTCTACTCCCCAAGCCCAGCCCAAGGCCAGGCTTGACTTGTGAGAGTTTGGTCCACCAGGCTGTTGCTTGGAGCAGCCCGCAGACCCACATATCCACCACAGCCCAGGGGGCTTCTCAGGCAGTAACCACTCTTTGTCTTCATTTCTCTAAGTTACAGTGGTCCAGGTTGTATGTCCAATTAGATGCTCTGGAGCTGCCCCAGTTGGATTTTTGGGTTTAGAATTGGAGGAGTTGGTCACTTTGAACTTGGGCTCTGCTGCACCTCCTCTTCCTTCACCGGTTTGTTGAGTGGTGCTTACCCCCCCCCCTCTCCCCTTTCTTTTAAGCCAGAGGTGTTTGAAAGGCTTTGGGGTCGGGGCAGGGTTTAGTTTGAGATGTGGCTCTGGTGGTTTTGAGGGTTGCTCCATTTGCATTGGGCACGATGGCAGTTGAGCCTCAGAGTTCCACTGAGCCCCTTCAGTGAGCCCCTTCCTTCAAGGCTTCTTCCTTTCACTCTGCTGGGCTTTCCCATACTGTGGGTGAAGATGTTGGCTCAGTCTTTGAGCCCTTGATTGCAGCTTCTGAGATTCAGGGAGTCCGAGTTAGAGTCTGTGGTACCGTTTACCCCCTCGTGGAACCTTGTCTTCTATGGATGGTCTTCCCTTGCAGGGGCGGGGGTTTCATCCCCTCCTTCCCTGTGTCTTGGTGTTCGACTTCCCCTTGGATTAACTGTTGTGTACTTTTGGGTTCCCTAGGGATACCTTTCCAAAGGTTTCTGTCCTCTTGCACTCCCCTTTGGAAGCATGTGGAGTTCTGTTTTCTTACCTCCTGTGTGGCTTAGTTTTTGCCTTGGCTTTGGACTTTGCCTCTTTAGAGTTTGGATCCATCTCATCCTCTTAGGTGCTTTCTAAGGTTTCCAGGTCATCCTGGCTAGCAGACCCCCATGCTCTTCGTTCCCCTTGTAGTAGTTTTGAAAGTCATGTAAGCTGGAATGATGTAATTACCTAAGTGTAATTACCTAAGTGTAGTTACAGGATGAGAGCTACGCTTGTGGTGTCCCGTCTCCCCAGCACTCTGTCATATAACACTTTGAAATTACTGACGGTTTTGGCTTCCACCACCTTCTCACCTAACTTGTTTCAAGCATCTACCACTCTGTTCACAAAAGTGAATTTTCTTATATTTCTCTGGCAGCTTTGTTTCGTGAGTTTAAATCTATGACCTCTTATTCTTGAAGTTCCGGGTCTCAGGAATTTTTCCCTGTCAATTTTATCTATTCCTGTTACTATTTTGTGTGTAGTGATCATATCGCCTCTTTTTCTTCTATCTTCTAGTTTTTGCATATTTAATGCCTCTAATCTCTCCTCGTAGCTCTTGCCCTTCAGTTCAGGGAGCCACTCAGTGGCATGTCGTTGCACCTTTTCCAGTTTGTTGATGTGCTTCTTAAGATATGGGCACCATACAACCGCTGCATATTCCAGCTTTGGTCTAACAAAAGTTGTGAACAATTTCTTTAGTATTTCTCCATCCATGTATTTAAAAGCAATTCTGAAGTTAGAAAGTGTAGCATAGGCTCCTCGCATAATGTTCTTAATGTGGTCCTCAGGTGACAATTTTCTATCTAGAACCACCCCTAGATCCCTTTCTTTGTTAGATTTCTTTAAAGATTTCTCACATAATTTATAGGTTGTGTGGGGTCTATATTCTCCAATTCCACATTGCATAACATGGCATTTATTCATATTAAATTCCATTTGCCAAGTGTTGCTCCATATACTTATTTTGTCCAGGTCTTCTTGAAGGGCATGACAATCATCTAGGTTTCTTATCTTCCCAATTATCTTAGCATCATCAGCAAGCATGTTCATATAATTCTGTATTCCAACTGGAAGATTGTTTATGTAGACAATGAACATTACCGGTGTACGAACTGAGCCCTGTGGTTACTCCACTCATGACATTCCTCCAATCCGATTCATTGCCTCTGATTACGGCCCTCATTTTTCTGTCAGTCACAAAATTTTTCATCCATGTTAGAAGCTTACCTGTCACCCCTCCAATATGTTCCAGTTTTCATAACAACCTCTTATGTGGAACTCTGTTGAAAGCCTTTTCTGGGGGGAGCCCCTACAGCTCCCCGGAGCTATCCATGGCTGATATGGATACCCTAACTATTTTGCATCAGTTGATGTGGGTGGAGTTCTAGCCTACCGGGGACCACGAGCCAGAATCTGGCCCCCCCTCACAGTGGCACGGGGAGCAATGGCCCATAGAAATGCACGTGTGATTTGGAGCATTCTATATTTGCCATCGACCTGGACAGGCACCCAGAAAGGTAAGCACCACAAAACAAACCTCTATTCTGGTTAACAATGAAAATCGACAAACGAGTGGACAGAACTCCCCAAAAGAAAAATGAGCAAACAAGCATGATGTCACCCGAGCCGCGCCACATGTCTGCGCAGCTCCCCCTCCCCGGAAGCGGAAGGAGGGAGCCCCAGACTCCCGCGCCGGCGATCCCCGCCTCAGTTCCTCGGCTGATGGGATCGTGCATGGACATGTGGCTCCAGCTCCTCAGTCTTGTCTCAGTGCTGACTTGTTTTCAGTACTGCTCTTATGGTGGTCGCGTGAGCTGGGTGTAGTATTCTCAGGTACTTGGGCTGCATGTGCTTAGGGTCACCTTCCCTGAGTGCCCTGTAAGTACCGCCCTTGGGGCTTGGGGTTGCCTTCCACAAGTCACCTTGGGTCTACCTCTGTTGGCCTTTCACTGTATGGTATTTATCCGCTCTAAGTGTTTGGGGGTTTCCTCCCTTGTTTACCTTCGGGTTAGTGGTACAGTAGTTATAGCAATGGTGGGACGCATGGTACTGTATAGCTAGTTTTCACCTATAATAGCAGCCGGCTCTGTTCCCACTGGGTACGTTGTCCACTTGCGTGGTTTTTCTTTTCTTTTTGTTTTTGCCTGGTGGGGGTCTGCCTTGTGATTTCCTCCCCCTTATATTAGGGTCATTTGTGTGGTGGCACCCCCTGCTTCACCATCGCGAGTGGACACGTCCCGTGGGTTCAGCTTTTAGCAGTTTGCATGGTAGTTTGGGGCACCGGTTAATAATAATAATAATAATAATTTTTATTTAGGTAAAGGTACATACATAAAGAGATTTTACAAAGTTTGTTGGCTTTATAGATAGAGCTAGTACATACAATGCCTAAAGCCACTATTACGCAAAGCGTTTCGGGCAGGAAAAAACACTAATGACTAAAGCTTAAAACTAATGGGTAAAAAGAAAAAAATGCGTTGAGTACAAATAAAAATAGAGGTAAAAGAGGGGGGAACATTGTTGAAAAAGCAGCACAAATACAATTACAAATTATTACAGAAAATTGCATTCAAACAGCATTGATTTGAAAAACAAAAAAAAACAAAAAACATACATGGGTTGACAATAGAGGGATAAGGTAGGTTACAGGGAATTTATTAGGTATAGCTTCGTTTTTAACTTAAACTGGTTGAGAGAGGTACTGTCTTTAACATGGTTGGGAAGGTCATTCCACATTCTGGGCCCCTTGATTTGTAGAGCATTTCTGGTTTGATTAAGTCGTACTCTAGGAATATCAAAACTGTATTTATTTCTGGTGTGGTGCTCATGGGTTCTGTTACAACCTTCTATGAAGCTTTTGAGATCAGGATTGGCATTATAGTTTAGCGTTTTATATATGTATAATACACATGAGAGAATGTGCAGTGACTTAATGTCTAACATATTCAGAGATTTGAGTAGGGGTACCGAGTGATGTCTGGGGCCAGAATTGGATATTGTCCT